TTTTTGTTGAAGGTGTCGCACATTTTTTCCATATAAAAAAATTATCAAACATTATTTTATATGGAGAAAATGAGCGACACCTTCAACAAAAAAACTTCCTAAAAATCAATGGTAAGTCCTAACCACCACAAACTTGCACTTTGTTATACTAAAATTGAATGGGCTAAAAAACTGCATACCCAACTTCTTTCTAGAGAGCGTAAATAAAAAGTGCAATATTTGAATGAAATTTTGCGGAATTTTCTTTAATTTTGCACAAGGTTAGGAAACCTGATTTTTGGGTTTTTTGTTGTAGAATTGACCATATTTTTATAAAAAATTATCGAAAAATAAAATATTTAAAAAATAGTTGACCGTATTGTAAAAAATTCGCTGTACCTAAACTTTACTGACTGACTGTACATATATACATAAATAAGTACATACCTTGCAGTACGTACATACATACATATATTCGATTTGTGGTGGTTCCAGCTCGAAACTAGTCCATCTAAATCTTTATATACATTTTTCGGGCTGAAAGAAAGACTTGAGGCGCGATTTTTCACATTTTTTCCTACGAAATCCGTACTAAAATTTTTTTTACAAAATTTGCCCGAAAATTGTTGATCTGGAAGAAATTTCTGACTGTAGTAAATCCACCCGATGCACATAGGAGTATTTGTATGAAAAAGCCGGTCATAAGTCGAATTAAAAAAATATGTTTAATCTCATCACAGAAACTATTTTCTGGAAGGTAGATAATCGGTTTATCAAATAGCAGACGCCAGAATTTTCACAGCGTTTAGTGTCTGAGCATTGTTCATTGGAAACTAGTCATTGTTTTAACCATAAATCTTTGTTCTCGTCAATCCTAGATTTCCATAGTGGTTAATGGTTAACTGTGCTTTTGTTTTGTGAAGTAAACGAAAAAATCTTTTTGGACATGGAAGGGCAAGGTATGTACTTTATAATAACAATTTATTTTTTTAATTTCATGCCAAGACTGCACCCTAAGTGAGGATTTTTAAGTCCCAGTAAAAAGTAATTTTTTTTTAACTAAAATTTATCAAACAGTAGTGTTTTTAAATAGGTGTCGGACCTTGTCAAGTAAAATTGTTAGCGTGATCATAATATTTGGACCCTTTTTGAATATAAACGGGAATAAAATTGTCCCCACATGTCCACAATTTTGTTTTCTCAGTTCTCAAAGTATGCACTGCAAAAACAGGTGTCTTGGCAAAAATCAATTGTCCTCGCTTTTATGATAATTTTTTTACATGTCCTCTGTAAAGACAGTAGGAATGTCTTTGTCCAATTTCCTAAATGTGTTTTCACAGCCGACTGAATATAAATGCTCAAAACATAACCTTAAAAAGGTTGTTCTGTTGAAATACAGCTTATAGAGCGATTTAGAGTTATTTTAGAAGTTATTTCAAGCGGCTACGATATAGATCCCGTTCAATTTGATAGATATGCACAAATTACAGCGAAACTTTACACAGACTTGTATGACTGGCACCCAAAGTCTCCTACACTCCATAAAGTATTAATACACGGTTCCATGGTGATCACTCATGCCATTTTACCAATTGGACAGCTATCAGAAGAGGCAGCCGAGGCCAGAAATAAACACTTCCGAAAATACCGCCTGGATTTTTCCCGAAAATTTTCTAGAGTAGAGTGCAACAGAGATATACTAAACAGGCTGTTACTAACATCCGACCCATTCTTGAGCTGCACTAGCAAAAACAAAAATAAAAAAAAATAAAAGCCGTTTTCTGAAGAGGCAAAGAAACTCCTGATTCCGAGTACACCGACAATAGACGAAGATTAAGTCATAGCTTTTTCAAATACTATAAGAAAAAACCATTAATTATATGTCGTTTATCAATAACTTACAAAATAAGTGTGAAATAGAAATATTGTTTATTTAAATAATCATTTTTATTTAATTTTGTTTTATTATTGTTAAATATATTGCAATTATGATTCATTAACGTGTTTTCTTAATAAATGTATTTGAAAAAAGCACTTAATAATTTTGACCGGTTTTTGGACTGAAATACTCCTATGTGCGACGGTTGAAAGTTGCGCACAAAAATTCAGAAAAATGTGAAAAGTGAGCCCTGGCTGCTGGCAAAAAGGTCGTACGACCGGGGTATTCTTGTCTTAAAAGCTTAAATAGCGACTTTCTCATAAAGTTTTTGTACAATATTTATAAAAAATTATGGGTATGTAGAGCATGTCTGAAGCTATCTTTTTAAGACCTAAAAATGTTTCTACAGCAAATCTTTATATACCTTTTTTGGGCTGAAAGAAAGACTTGAGGCGTGATTTTTCACATTTTTTTCTACAAAATCCGTATTAATGGCTGCTGGCAGCCAGTTGGGCGATACTTGAGATTGCAAAAAGGTCGTACAACCGGTGTATTCTTGTCTTAAAAGCTTCAAGAGGGAATTTCTCATAGTTTTTGTACAATTTTTATAAAAAATTGTGGGTGTATAGAGCATGCCTGAAGCTTTCTTATCCATTTACAATTTACGCCTATTATTCAGCATTACAAATGAATTTCAATAAACAATTAAAATATAAGCCTTAAGCATAAACTTCAAAGATGTATGATTTTTATAAATTAAAGAAGCAACTTTAAAATAAGTCCTCCAAAAGGCCTTCTGAAATACGTCCTATAAAAGCCGTTCTGGAAGGCCTTCCACGGGTAGCGAAAGAAGAAGCCTTTCAATTTGTGCCACTCCATACAAAAAAGAAAGGAGAAAGGTATGTAGAGTGGAAGGCCCCTTGACTCTCAGGAAGGCATTTCGGAAGGGATTTTAACTCCAGGGATTTTAACTCCTGGGATTTAAACTTAGGTTAAATAGATTTCTATATAAAGTTTGACAGTTCATTTATCAAAATGATAAATTTATAATTTTATCAAGTTTACCAGCAGTTTTTCACTTTAGATGAAGACTCCGAATATGCATATGTAATAACTGTATTTGTCGAATCCATACCACCTTATATCCTTAAGCTTTTTCAATTAAAATACAGTTAATTCTCTGTTAATTGGATTGCAATGGGGTATAATCGTCGTGCTGGGTATGCAGTTACAGTTACACGGCTATACTCAATCCCGACTCTTGCGTCCTCGTTCGCGCACTCTGGGCAACGTGAGCAACCCATGTGTGAGATGCGGTAACCAATCCCAGTGGAGCCTTGGGTCAGGGCAGAAAAAGAAGGGGCTTCAGTGGGGCCACTCCGACTTCGGTTTAAGAGCTCACTGAAGTCTGCAGCGCCTGGTCACCAGTGGGTGCGGCAACAAGCGGGTGTCTTGTCTTGGAGCGAGCGGCTCGCAATATAAACGTGTATTCGGTAGCGAAACCATGAGGCGGCTCCCTGAGTATTCGAGAGAGATTTTGCGGAAGAAGAACGGGCTTTTACGCGTTGGCGATGGCGAGTACCGCAAACGATGGAACGATACTGTATGAGCTTTACAACGACGTGGACATAGTGCAGTGAATTCAAACACAGCGGCTCCGCTGGCTTGGCCATGTCGTTCGAATGGACTCCGATGCTCCAGCTCTAAAAGTATTCGACTCGGAATACGCTGGTGGTAGCAGAGTAAGAGCGAGGCCCCCGCTGCGTTGGAAAGACCAAGTGGAGAAGGACTTGGCTTCACTTGGCATTTCCAATTGGCATCAGTTGGCACAGAAGAGGAACGACTGGCGTGCTTTGTTGAACTCAGTCAAAATCGCTTAGGCAGTTAAAGCGCCAAATAAGAACAAGTCTTTAACAAAACCCATATAAACCCAAGTTTAAGGCCCCTATTATGAGCTGCATTCGATTTTCGATCTTCGCTGGCTATCGAAGATCGAAAATGAAATTCGTATTATGAGCTATGCAAGCGTGTCGAAATTTTCGTTGAGTATCAAATTTTCTGTCGAACAGAATTTTGCTTTTGATGGTGTAGCGAAGTGTTAGAAAATTGTGAAAAATGTATGATTTTGTATATGTTTTCTTACATTTTGGCGGCAAGACACTAATTTTAAACAATTTTTATTAATTGCATGCAGTTCTAACATCGTGAATACTAAACACAAACTCGAAAGGCCGGTTTTACTTGTGAAAGAAAAACCCAATACTCTGTTGGCACGATCTCTGAGAACAAAATCGTAGTGCTGTTGATAGTTTTAAAATATTTTAAATAGATTTGGGTCACAAACGCCCCTTTAGATGGTCGGAACTTTTTAATGAATCTGTAGACAAATTTCTTAAATACATTTTATATCAAAATATATTCGAAAGACTAAATAGTGTGCTCATACATGTTTATGTAAATTTGTTCTAAATTAAAATGAAATAAAAAAGAAAGTGAGTTTATAAAAACGTGGTAAAATGAGTACAACGAGTTCTGGTTCAACGATTCGTCAGAGGATGAGAGCTTAGTAAACTGGCCAGGAGTAGCAAATGTTAAGAGAGTTTAAAATTTGCTACTCCTGGCCAGTTTAGTAAGCTCTCATCCTCTGACGAATCGTTGAACCAGAACTCGTTGTACTCATTTTACCACGTTTTTATAAACTCGCTTTCTTTTTTATTTCATTTTAATTTAGAACAAATTTACATAAATATGTATGAGCACACTATTTAGTTTGCTCGATTTATAAACAAAGCTTCTCAGCGGTGAAAAATATACTATTGTGAACAACCTAAACGAGCGAAATTCACAATAGCGCTATTCTTCATCGAATGAGCGCCATAATACCAAATGAAAATTCGTTCGCTCAGCACTTTCGACCACAGTCGAAAATCGAATACAACTCATAGGGGCCTAAGACTTTATAGAAAACTAAAAAAAAACCATCAAATTGAACTTCAAACGGGTTTATAGCCCGTTCTATTTTAGTGTAATGCAGTGGCTAAAAATTATCGTTGCTTTGTTTGATCTTTTTGTCCTAGGTGTTGCGGTTTTCTTCTATATAAAAATAAAATGTGTTCGTTAATTCGGTAAAAAAAAAAACTAAAAAATCTACGGTGATTTTTAGCCACTTGAACCTTGCACATTAATAGGTCCAAATTGAATAGGTGTTGATGTAAAACTGTACTAAAAAAATAATAATCTGGAAAAAATTAATGAACACAAGTGGCAAATATATCACTTTGAAATTGGGGTGCTAATAATATAACCGATACTGTACATTCAGTACGTTAGTGGAAAGCCAGCCTCATCTAAACCGTGGAAACCCGAATGAAACCCCCCGATTAGAAGTCTCAGATTATTTAGTCTACTAAATTGTCGTCCTATGTAGCTATATCAAAAATCACCGACTTCTTCCCTCAGCCATGAGCTTCATCATACCGACGTTCTGCTGTATACAATTAAAATTTTTGTAAGACTAAATTAAACATTTCTTTTTTGTCGCCGGACACATTTATTTTAAAGAATTAGGCGCTGGAACATTTGTCTTTGATATTGTTGGAAATTATATGAAATACATGTAATAAAAATATATATGTATATGAATAATCAAATAATACAAATTTATGCATGTGATGCTGTTTGAAATTTGTTTCTTCCAGAAACTTTTCAAATCAGTTAGGCGAACTTTGTTTCTTTATATATATGCATCTGGATGTACATATACGCTTTATGCAAATGTATGTACGTATGCTTCATAATTTATCAGCAAATATTCCGTTTAACTTAACCCATTTTTCTTTTGCTTTATTTTGGGACCTTCTAAAATAAACGCAGCTTTGCATGCCAAATGTTTTTTTTTTATATTTTACTTTGATTTCACCAGCTAAAGTTGAATATATGTAAGTATGTGTGTATTTAATTGATTTAACTTTTTGGTTATAATATTTTAGTTATTTAAATTTGTTTACTTGATTTTGACATTTTATCTCTTAATTTGCACACCAAAAACTAATTTGGATAAACACATACGAAAATATGGTTAGCAACTGTCTCATACGTATTTACATATGTGTTTATTCGTGTGCACTTGGAAATATTCGCAATTCAATTTTGAATTTTACTAATTTTACTTTTGATAAAAATGTATATTTTTAATTCAGTTTTTTTGTTTTTATTCTGTATGCATACTGTTTTTCTGGTTCGAGTTTTTGTATAAATTTTGCAATTTTTTTGTTTTTTTTTTAATATGTTTAGGTTTTTTTATGTTCTGTTTATCAGCAAATGTGTCTGATTTTCTATTTTTTTTCTTTTTATAATTTTATTTGTTTAAAGTAGCAAAAAATCATTAAACTTTTTCGCCCTCTTCAACTTTCACTTACTTTTACACGCAAATTCTATCCGCAGATTGTTGCTAGTTTGCTTACTTCTTCAGCGAGTGCAATGCAGCTACCTTTGAGTTCATGCACATTTTTACGGGTTTCAACCGCACACGGAATTTTTTCAATTTTTCAATGCTTTTGCAATTTTTTTGTTAGTCTTTTCTTTTATATATTATTTTTCTTTTCCTAAGCTTGTCACTCTAATAAATTATGGATTCCACTAAATTTATACGATTTCAAAGTATTAAACTCGCTTGCCTTATGATGTTTTCTTACTTTCTTTCTCAAAAAATGCATACTTCGTGTAAATGACAAAAACAAATTTTTATTCAAGTGAAAAATATGAAAATTTGTTTGCAATGCTTATTTGAGTTGGGTTAAGTTGTTGTTGCGTGTTTATAATGGGTAATTAAAAGAAGTTAGAATTCGAATTCAATCTTGAGTTTTAGAATCCGTTCGTGGCCTAGCTTCGATGGTTTCAGCTTTGAATAATTTATAACAAGGAATTTCCATGTTCAATTTTTCTGCGAGCGGCCTTTTGTGTTCTTGTTTTGAATTTTCTTTCTGTTCCCCTTTTGGCTTCGACCGAATTTCTAGTGGATTTTCTTATATTTTCAGGGTTATATTCAGAAATGATGCGCTCGGAGCCTTTAAAATAACTCGAGAATCTCGCCGAATGTAAAATATTGAATGTAAAAATATCTGCATTTTGATTGGTTGAATTGAAAAGATATTAAACTGAAATTAGGAGCGAAAAAGTGTAAGAATTAATTATGTGGAAAAATTATAAAAGTTGAAGGTTGGCTAATCGATTTTTAACAAATGTTACAAAGGTGTTACGATCTTGGAATGGTTCTCATTATCCATTAATAAAAAATCTGCATCCCACTTTCACACGAAATCGAAATCGAATGAGTTGCATTATTTTTTACTTTTTGTTCAATTTTGTTTTGAGCTAAAAGTGTGTAACTAATATTTGATGTTGTGTTTTAGCAATAGTCAATTTTTAAAGTTATTGAACTTTTTCTCGTTCGTTTGAAATTGTATGAATTTTCTTAGAAGTTTTTCTTCACTTGCGCACTTAGTTAGTTGGCTCAGTGACGCGATGGACTTGTAGCACAGCAACGGCCTCCTCAACTTTGGCTTTCAAAGCATCTTGATCTTCCAGCATGTGCAACAGCTCAGAGTTTTCAATCTCCAGTAACATACCGGTGATCTTGCCGGCCATCAAAGGATGCATGCGCTCGATCATTGGATACAAACGTTCTCCCAAAATTTGCTTTTGTTCCTGTGGCTTGGCATTGGCTAGCAAAGAAGCAATCAACTTTTCTTGACCTGAAATATTAAAAAATCATATTCACGCATTAATTTATTTCCCTTCGACGCCTTTTCATGAGGTAAATCAAAGTAACTCACCCTTTTGGTGCAGTGGCTGCACTTGAGGCTGTTGCTGAACGGGCTGTGGAGGTGGATTACGCATGTTAGCTGTATACTTGTAGTTGGCAGCGCGTTGTTGAGCTCCGCCCGCGGCAATTGGAGCTCCAGCCATTTGGATATTGCCCGCGGCAACGGCTTGTTGGCCAGTGATAGCGCGAGCGCCGGTATTGCGCATTGTGTTGGCAGCGGCAACTGCTGCATGTGCGCCCTGGACTGCTTGAGGCTGGCCTCGTGATGCTGCTGCTGCCGGGCGGAACTGGGCAGTGCCGGTGGCTGCCATGGCGGCGGCGTTTTGGAAGCCACCAGCAGCGGCTGCTGCAGCTCC